CCGCGCGTGGGGCTGTGTCACGGCCCGCTCGGACGAGCGGCTTAGACTCGTAAATCCCCAACGGAGTGGAGAACGGTGAGACGAGTCTCGAAGTCCAGAGGTTTATGAACTTCCCACAACGTACTAATTGGACACACGCTAATTGGCAAAGGATATGACGAGTTGTGGCAGGCAATCCAGTGTGCCTTGCATTGCTTCATGGTACTGAAGGAAAAGGAAAGGGGGGAGATGGGGAGAATCGAGGAATAGAGATCACCGGTTTGGGTTCCTGCACCGATACCACCAGCAAGGGTTCCAGGAGGCATCTGTCCACTCTCCAGACCCCCACCCCACCCTCCTTGCCCCCCTCAGTTTATACCCACTTCCTTGGGTCCATCCCCGAGGTCCACCCACATACCCGTGGGTCCCACGGATGGGGAGGGGTAAGGGCTTTCTGGGATGATTAATGAGCAAAATCTTCACAGAATCAGCTAGGTTGGGAAGGACCTTGAAGATCATCCAGGCCAACCGTTAACCCAGCACTGACAGTTCCCAACTCCACCAGATGCCCCAGCGCTAAGTCGATCCTACTCTTAAACCCCTCCAGGGATGGGGACTCCGCCACCTCCCTGGGCAGCCCATCCCAACGCCTAAAATCCTTGTTAGTCTTTGTTAGCATATTCAGGGGTGTTAACTTCAATATGCATTTTGTGGGTAATGAAGCAAAGGTCATCCACCAGACAGATGGCCCTTGAAATTTGTCCATTGCCCCGGAGCAGAACTGTCCTGTCTCCACAGGGCTCCCCTCTCCACCAGCACCCGTGTTACTGGGGCAGCTTACAGCTTCCACACTATCCATCCCACCTACTCGAATTTCATTACTTGCAAGTGTTTGAGATATTCCTTAGCTCAGAGGGCTTCCACTCCCCCTGCTATCCTTTTTCTCAAGCGGTTTTTCTCAGACTTTGTTTCTCAGAGGCCTGTCTCAGGACCCGTTTTTACAAGTCATCTCTCACAAGTGCTCCACTGAGGACCTACCCAGCACTAAACCCTGGTGAAAGTCTCTCTGGGGAGTCAATAAAAGGAAACAGCAGCGGCTAAGTTTAGTCTTGCTGCTCAGGCATCCACCACAGTTGCCGAGAGTTGGAACCCATGTACCTTACCCCATTCTTTTGTTGTTTCACCCTGTCTCAGTTCATGTGTAATTGCATGCAAAACCTCCAAACGGCTTAAAACAAAAAAATTTTTTTAAAAAAAAAAGGAAAAGCCTGTATGGAGACACGTGGGCATTTCTTCCTTAACCTACGTAATGTCAGAACTCAACCACCATAAGGTTAGATGAAGCAACAGCAGTATCTGATCACTTATTTGGGGGATACAGGGTTTAGCTGCTAATTCTGCAGAGTTTTTAACAAGGTATCATGAACCAGGTGACAGAAGACTGTGTTAAGTGTTGAGCAGGAACACCATACCAGAGTGCTTGGGGAAAAATTAATAATACAAGTTTATCTAACTCGCCGAGCTAGGCAACAGCTGCCTGGCAGATTTTAGTACCTACATTCTGGATTTCAGTGTCATACGTAGTCCTTGCAGGGCTGGGCTCTGCAGCTGAGCGCTGCCGTGGTGCCAGCTGTCTGGAGGCCAGGGGTGGTGTAAGGGCACCGTGCACCACAGCGGCTGGACGCGCCGTGCCTGGCCCTAGCTCTGTGTGAAATCATAGACAGATGTCCTCCAAACTCCCGTCTCCATGCTAGTTAAATTCCTCTGCGAGTCTGCAAGGACTATTGAAGTTGTTTGTGTCTTTCAGCAGGAAGATCCAGTTCAAAAGTGGGCATTTACATATTAATTGTTATATGATACTAATGTCAATTGCTACAGGTGATCCTTGTATTTTTCTGGAGTGGATGCTTGTGCAGAAGGAGGAATTACAGAATTAATGCTGGAAAAAACCTTGGAATGTAATGCATGGTCTGTATTTCTAGATGTCTGTTTCTTGTCATCTGCATCCTTCTGTAAAGGCTAAGAATTATTAAGAGAATGAAGTAATCTCTCCCTAATTTTACAGTCTGGAGTGTTGAGTGGTAATGAAATGGAAAACACAGCGAGCCATTCAGATCTCTCATTGGAATTTCTCTGGAGAATGCTGTTGGATGAACAACTGATAAAAATGCTTTGCAGATTTGTTTTCCTTTTATCTGGCTCCTGTGAAAGAGCAGAATATTATTTTACTTCCTGTGGTGATACACTGGCACATAAATTATTACTGTAGTCTCTCTCTGCTGGCATATTTCCCACTGCTATAAAGTGCTAACAATATGTAGACAAAGTAGATTATATTTGTCACAAAGTCTTACCAGTTTGCACCGAGACACTTACTGGTATGCAGACTGAGTATTACTAGAAGAGTAGCTAAAACGCTAGGTGTTTAACTACATGGGATCTTTTAAACACAAAGGTACATTATATGAGAAATGGAGCTGCTACAATTTATTTTTTTAAAAATGCAGATACCAAAGCAGAAATATCTTGCGGCTGCAGAAGGTCTTAAAAGAGCCAGTGTGGCTGCAGACATTATAATGTGGGTGATAACTTAATGATAGTTGTTTAGGGATAATCTAGCACTGGAGATGCAGTTTCTGTACCACATACAAGAGGGATTTGGCAGCAAATTCCTGAGTCCTACCTCTTTTTTAAAGACTTCAGGATGCACCTCAGTTACATTTCCTATCTTCCTCACAGCCATGTAAGCTAGGAATTTGCTTAAAGAAAGCAAGGCAAGAGTACCCCTGAGTCACATCACAACAAGAATTAGGGGACCCACCTGATTTTTGCCAATCCTTTCATGGCCCAAAGGATATTGCTAGGATGAGGCCTTACAGAGTGCTTTCTAAAATGCCAGCACTGCTGCAGGAGGCTCAGAGAAAAAGAAAACGATATAGACAAGCCTGAAAAATTTGTATCACAGGGAAAATCTAATTCCTTAGGAATAGATAAGAGGACAGAGCTAATTCTAAGCAGACAGGAATGACCAGATGAATTAATACAGCACCACATATTTGTTCTTGTACTGTGCAGTAGTATATCCCTGATAGCTCACAGTATCTTACCAGTACATACTGTACTGTCTCTCTGCTTGCCTCCTTTTCTTTCATTATATGTCTACCAGACAGAAGCACATTCTGTGCTTTCAATAGGTCAGTAAAAACAAAAAATAAAACAAAAAACAAACTGAAGGCTGTCAGGAAGAAAAAATGTATAGCCTTCATCATTTCAATCCTGCTGTAGCAGGGCTGTGGAAAGGAGATATGGTGAACTGGTTTTCACTTCATCTTGTTTACTGGTATGCTGCTATGCAAAGTACTTGAGACAAGTTCCTTAAGCCGTCATAGCAGCATGGAGAAATGTCAGGCAACACAGCAAATAAAAGGACTGTTGGTGTAAATGATAAATCAGTGAAGAATTTTGCTCTGTGCTCCAAGCACATAAGGCACCTCAGTGTTGGTCACCAGGCTGAAAATTCCTAAATAACTGCTTCAAGTTGAAAAGTGCATGAGAAAATAATTTGAAAGGGCAACTGCAGCTGTCAGCTTTTTCGTCACCACATTTCCTGAATATCCATTTCTCTTTCCCAGGGTAAGCTAAGAATCATACTGCCTCACCAGCAAGAAAACTGAATTACAAAGCACTAACATTAGCAGCACAGAGCTAAAATCCACAGTGATTTCATTTTCATTAACTGTTTAGTGCTTGTTTATCAGATGCATTCACACTCTTTCACTATAGCATTTTTCTCCATGGGTGTATGCAGAGCAATAATTTGCATGCCTTTGACATCACCCCATCATGACTTCTCATGTCCAACAAAAGCTGATTTGTACAGAAATTTTTCTGAGAGTCATGTATGTAATGTCTCAGGTGATTCTTAGAACAATGTCAACCCAATGACTATGGCTGCAAACACCAAAAATATCTCTCTTTAGTCAGGAGAGAAGGAACAAAATTAAGGCAAATGTAAAGCCCTCCCTCACTCCCAAGCACATCAAATCCACAAAATACAAAAGCCACTCTGATTCTTCAGCGGCAATCAGGGGTCATCAGCTGTCTTTAAATCAGTATCTCTACACTAGATTACAGTGAAGAACTGCAGAAAAGTATTTTATATTTATGTGCTCCATACCAAATGCTCTCTAAAATTTTAGCAAAGACTTTAACACTGATCGGTGCTCCAGAAAGTAGGAGAAAGTTCCATCCATCCATTCTGCTCAGCACTACTTCCCATTACTTTTTCAAGCATGTCAGCCTAACAAGGCAGTGAATCAGCTTCAGGCATTTCCTTAGACAGCCTTAGACCTGTAGTGTATGAAAAAGAGGAAGGTAAAGACTTAAATTTACCTCACATACCAGACAGCTTTACAGAGGTTCAACTGCTTGTTTTAAATGATGAATTGGACCAATTTAATCCATTGATGAGTCCCAAGAAGTCTCTGCTAAAGTGAGCCTATTCAAGACAGAATAATAATTAGATAATACTGCAGTTTATTCCAGGCCGTTCACATCATCATCATCATCATCATCACTGGTCATTTAATCTCAGTTTAGATTCTCATTAGACCTGCTACTCTCTGCTATCCTGTACTTCTCACCTGCCCCTCACTGTGTCTCCTCTGTATTTGCCTGCATATACTATGGCAGACATCCTCTTTTGAGCTCGCTGGGCTAGCCAAAAAATACTACTGTTCCTGTTGCTTAATACAATCCACCATCTTGTCTACTAGTATTAAGACTGTGAGAGTGTCTCATAATCTCCTTGAAGCAAACTCATACAGATGAGGTCACCTTTATCATCTGCTTCAAGTGGGCAGTATTTCACTTACTCTGTAACAAATCATAACTGTGCGATGGAAATGAGACACTTTTATTAAACTAAGCACTTTAGCATCACCATTGACCTTGAGACTATGAAAAGGTTTTTTATCCCATCCTCCTCATTCATTTCTTCCCTGATCTGTTTTAGAGGCAGGCTGTTAATATAACCTTTGTTCACAGTTTGAGGATTCAGATGAGGCTAATTCTCTAAGACTCCTATAATTCTCATCCATATACTGAGCACTTGGGGCCTTATTATCTTAAAAAAAAAGCCTGGATAATTCATGTCTGGATAACGCCCAAGAAAGAAGGTTTCAGTGTTGCTACATGTCTGTCTGGTTTTCCTCGCTGGATATGCATCACTAGATCTTGTGGAAGAAGCAGGAGACTGAAGCCTTTCAGAGACCAAATGGAAATGCTCAGCTAGGAATCACAGAGGCTGGACAAACGGCGACTGAAAGACACACGTAGGGAACTTCCTGCCTCGGTACAGATGGAGAACAGAGCCCGACTGGGTGGCAGAGCTGATGGGGGGACAGACTCAGGGACCTAGAAAAGGCTCTGCAGTTTTACAATGCAGGAGGCCACTGCAAGACTGTGTGGCAAGGCAAAAGGCCCACCCTATGAAAGCCTCAATGGGCAAGATGGAAAATAAAAGTCCCATATTTTAACATGATTTCTTTGTTTTAAAAGCTGCTTTGCTCAAAATTTTTTTTTTTTTTTATAGGTCTTAGAGACCAAAGTTAATGCATTCTGCAAGTTCTCCCTGAGATACTCAGGGGGAATTTCTCTCAAGCTCTTTTTTTTTCCCACATAGCTCTTCAGCAGTCAAAAATACTTCTGTTCTGAGTGGATTAGTTCCTCCCCGCCTTTCCTGCACTGCCTTTGTGTTGTGCCCTCTTTTCACTAGTCTTCCTGAACAGTATTTGTCCCTGTCAGGCCTGTCACTTCCAGTGTTTGAGCTTATCAGCATCTGTTCTACCTGCTCAATACACTCTTATTAGCTATATGTCTTCTGCTTGACATGCTACATAAATACTTGCTTGACTTAGATTAAGTAACACAAACTTCCTTTTTCACTTTGTGTTTCCTACAGCAATTTCCAGTAAATCAAATTATGCTTCAGAGTTTTATGCAGTTCTTTGTATGTAGCCATGTCAGAATTCAAACCACTGCTCTGTAAATCAATTTCCTGAGTGCACAACTTTCAAGAGAAGAGAAATGAGACCAGCTGTTGTTTTTTGCTTTCAATACTCATTTCTTTTTTGTCTGGCATCTTTCTTGTGTATCTGAGGGATATGAGGCTAAGGCAACTTTTTGGGGTATGTTTAAATACAATATTGGAGCTGGGATGCCCCACAGTGAAACAGGGTGCCACTACTGCTGGGGATTTCCATGTGGATGGCTTGGAGGCCTTATTGTAGCTGAGAAAGTGGCACGTAAGAACAGCCTCGATCCCTGGGTGTTTTACAGTGATTGAGATCAAGCCCAGAAGAAAATGTTAGGAAATGTTATATTCAATACAGCAACGAGATAATTTTCAGATGTCATTAGGCAGGATTAAAAGCAGAGTGCTGGAACCAGGAGCTCTTTTTTCACATCCTTGAGCTAACACTTCGTATGTTCACAGCACTGGATTAACGGTCTTCCATACTTCACCGTTACTGGCTCCCTATTCAAAGAAAAGCTAGATTTGAAATTTTTTTTTTTTTTTTGGCTCTAGACAAGAACTTTCAAGAGGATGAGATATGACTAATCCCTTTATTGAGTGTTTCGTACTGCCTTTCAAGCAGAAAAGTATTTGGAAAAATCTTAACTACAAAGCTTATCTGAGCCAGCATCCTGAGATCCTTCTTCAGTCCAGTTTTTATTCATGGTATCACCAAGTATAAGCATGGATAATCAGAGCTTTCCCACTCTATATTCTCACACAGTGAAAACAGGAAAATGTGAGACTTACAGTGCATTCCGGTCCAAAGGAGGAAGCCTAGGTATCATGTGACAAAATACAGAAACACTGAATTACATTAAGAAAGAATGCCAAGGCAGCTTATTCAGCATGTTTTGAACCTTCCTTATATGCTTTGCTTATAGCTTGTGTGAAAGCTAAACCCTCTGAAGATAACAAATTACTAAGTTTTGGTACTCATAGTCAAAGCAACTTCCTGCGATCCTATGTGTCACACCATAAATTGGTAATGTTCTTAGCTGATCCAGGATGGAGTTCAACAGGATTTAGTGGCATATTTTTCCTTCTTTGCACCAAAATACAAGCAAGCCTATACTGTATGCAGCAGCAGTAACTTATTACACACCATAGTTTTGCCAGATAATCCTAAAGCCCAGAATGGCTCTGCCAGAATTTTGTCTTGTCCAATGTATGTGTCATAGTAACATCAATAGTTCTTTTTCTTTAGGAAACCACTCTGATATAAACTAACATGGCATAACATTAAAAAAGAAGGTTTTGAGCTGCATTTTAAGGCAGCATTTGATCAGTGACTGCAGATGGCCTAGAGTAGTCTTTTTTGTTGTTCTTGTGACTCCAGTAGGAAGGTTTGATATAACTGAGTAGGAAAGTTAGTTTCTGACAGTGTGATATTAGATTTTGCCTAAAGATGGGTATTTTTTCAATAGAACTGCAACTTCTTTTAGGGGCATGACCAGAATAGATGATTACAGGAGCTACAGCTCCAGCAGACACACACAAGACAAATTCTAGTTCATAAAATATTTCATTTGAACACTTGCACAAATAATTCACCAGTGCTCCTACACCTATCAAATGCTAGCACTTGCTAATGGGACAAGCAGCTGCTGCACAAAGCATTTAACTTTCCAGCACTTTCCCTCTCTGTACAAGGTTAAGTGTTAGAACCTGATTGTGAAGAAAAGCACATACTTGATTTGTGCCATTCAAAAATATTGCTTCTAATACTCCAAAAAGTTATCTCCTTTTATGTATCAGAAAGCCAAATAATTGTATTTCTTAATTTCTCCACAGCACGTTCTAGCAATCTTTATATAAAAGCAATGACTTTATTAAAATGAGTCTTCTTAGATATCCTTGGCAGTGTATTTCCTAAGTGGTTTGGAGAAAAGCTAATCCTGTATCACACTGGAACTAAGCCTGAGACTAAAACATTTACACTTAAGATCATGAAAAAGATCACAGGGCATCCAAATGAAAACTGAGCGCTAACCATGGATTGTTTACTATCCATGCAAGCATGGCAGTAGAGAGATTAGTATTCTACCTACATTTAGAAATGGATGGTGGTGTGTATATGGAGATGGAAGATGCTTCCCTGGTGGATGGTAAGCAAAAATATAAGTGGTACTACAGAATTTTTTGTTGCTGTAACTTGCTAGAATAAAATTGCTAGAATTTGTTGCGGTAAAGTCACAGATTATAATCTAGCTGGCTGGTTGAAAAGGACATATCTCTGCTACTACAACCTCAACAACTAGTTTTCCATCAAAACAATTTACAACAGGACTTGAAAAAAACCCAAAGTTGGCTGTGATAATCTGTGCTGGGGACTTCAGGCATGTCCCTTCTGTAATTCCCCTTTAATTCAATATGACATATCTACACTCCATGGGTTTCTTTGGCAGATGAGGTAATACTGACTAAGAGTCAGGACACTGTGATATTATGCCCCCTAATCTCTCGTCAGAGATAAATTGTGACTGGTCCCTTAAATTCACTGCAGGTTGTGGCTGTTCAAAAAATGGACACGTATAACTGCGTAATGGCAGAGATTAAATCTGAGAAGTAATGGTCAAACCTCTGATCACCAGCCAAAAGCTAGTAATTTCAGAGGGCAGCGAATCTGAAAACTGTAATATTGTACATTGCCTTTCAGCTTTTCTCTTCTAAGCCACAGGGGAAGTAATTGTAATATTTTAATTGTTTAAAAGAACAATAAATTTCAGAATCCAGTTAGCTTTACTGGAATGCTGAATGGTAAACTGGTTCTCTATTTAATTCTTCAGTCAAAAAAAAAAACCAAAAAAAAACCACCCCAAGGGGAAAAAATGTTTTATGTCCCGGGAAAAGATTGTGAATGACATCAGGTGTGTTGACAGCACTTGTTTCTGTGGCAGCAACTAATTCCAGTCATTGGTGCACATTTATGCTGACAGGCTTTTACTTTCTGGCAGTCATAGGGGTAAACGTGGAAATCCCTCCCTCAGGTTACATATAATTTACTTTTAGTAACTCAACCACCTCTTTCACAAATGCAAACAGAACAGGGGAAATGAAATATAAGAAACATTGGGGAAAACTGAGGAATTCGTCTTGTAAAAAGAGTCGTCTTTAAAAAGAAAGGTTTTGATTAATGTCTTAAAAAGTAGAGGTGCTTACTGAATTTATATGCAGTTTAAAAAGACAAACACTGGGTCTATGAGAGGAATTGCTCTTTTCAATCCAGACAGAAGTCAAATCCAGAGAGAAGGTGGATGTTTTGCTGATAGCAAGCGCGTTTGGAATAGGATTAATGACATGCTGTTTCCTACTCTGAGCCTTGATATTCAGTAAACCATTTAGAATGATTGACCACAAAGTGCCAAGTCACTTTCTCTGGCTTTCAGTCACTCCTTTCCAGTATTAACATAAGTAGTATAGTACTTCCGCAGCGACTTTACTTCAAGGATCTCATCTGGACTTAGCTCTCATATCATTAAACATAACTGGGCTGGGGCCTTTGTGCACCAGTACAGCGCAGGTTCAGAGCAGCTCATAAGGAACGGTGTTATAGATGCATTTTACCCAGGAAGAGTCCCACAAAGTCATGCTGGTGATTTCCAGAACACAATGCCCTCTGAATCCTTCAGCACACAAGTAATCTTGCATGCAGAAATGATAGGGTGAAAGTTACTTACACAAGCTCTGCGCTGTGCTCAAGCTGGAAGACTGCTAATTTTGCTGCATCACACTCTGCGGACTAATAATTGTCTGCAACTTTGGGAGCATTTTCTGAATTATCTCTGATATTCTGAGCGGCAGACTGATGTTAGCAGATCTAACTGACGCCTGCGCAAAGTGAATTACTCCTTCTCCACAAAGATAAATCTAGATTAAAATTTTGAATCTTTTATGCTGTAAATCCTAGTTTAACTTTCACAGTCTCATGGTCTTTTTAGAGACCTCGGTTAATTGGAAATTAAATCTCTGGAGAAGCTAATCTGTACTACGGGCTTTTTCGTTTCATTACAAACCTTTGCTAATGAATACATGAAGATGTTTTGATGAACTCTGCTTTTTTAGTTTTCTGACTTTGTAGGAATTAACTTTTCCCTAGCATGAGAATGAATGCTTGAATAGATTATGCTGATGTGGAAATCAAACCACCATGTAGAGTTGATTTATTCTTCACGTAAATTTTTCTATCATCAGGGTCTGGTCACAAAAGGATCAGAGGTTAGCAAGCTCTAACTTTTTTTACTGTAAAGTTAGTCTAGACAGATTCTGCAAGGACCTCCACATATCTTGATGGCTAGAAATAAGCATGTGTCCAGATCTTTGTAGGCCCCAAGATGATGACAAGAACTCTCTGGGACACAGATCATCATTGGTAAGATTTTTGTCCAATACCTGATTAACAGCTTGGACCAAACTGCATCAAATGTTCCTGCAACGTTACACCCTTTGTTTTCCCTTGATCTTAACTGGGAGTTGACAATGGCTGATTATTCCAGTGGCATGATGGTTTTGATGTATGAATGCCTCTGGTTTAGATTTATGAGAATAGAGCTGAGCAATACACAGTGTTTGTGGGGCTAAGTAAAACTCCCAAGTGACTGCAAATATAGGTGGAAAAAACAGTCAAGCTTGGGGTCCCAGTTCAGACTCATGCCCCAAAGCTCATTTATTTTTTCTTACTGCATCAGTTAGTGTAACAAAACATTTCACCTTGCTTCATAAACCTTGTAGGGCTTCTATCACCTGACCATCACAATTGCAATGAGGTAACACCTGCTTAGTTTGTAAAACTACACAGGCACTTTCATAAATTATAAGTAGAACTTGGAGATTTAAGAGATGGCAAAAGCTCAGAATAACTCTCTAGCCGCTTAGCAATGTATTTCTGAATGGAAGGACTATTACAGTCCCAGCAATACACACCTTTTGGTACTGTTGCAGAGCAAAATGTGTCTGTAGTGCTGATGATTATTGTGTTTAAACCACTCAGAATATTTTCCTTTTAACTGATCCTACTGCTGAAACCCTACTGGTTCATGACAGCTTGTTGCCATGGATGGGTAATGATGTCACACATTCTGTCCTGTGTCCATGCCAGAAAATTAATGAGAATGATGTTTTTAATGACTGGGAGTTACTTAGCAATTCCCTGGAAGGCCTTAAGTGACTTAGAAGTAAGAAAAGATGCCCTGTTGACCCTACCTGCACTGTATCTTTATGCCAGTGAAGCGATGCAGTAAAACTCCACAGTAAACGCTCTGCAGATTTAAAAACAAGGTTGTGTTACTCCACTTTACCTTGTCATCCTACAGGTTTCAGTAGGCTGAGATCAGCAGGAGGCTGGGTGAAGCGTGGGTCGGGGGCTCACACATCAATACATGTGCCCTTGGAAACTATGTGACTGTCCTGAAGTTTTCGGAGGAGGGTGCACTGCTTGTGTCCTTGCCTCCGGTCAGTGGTACTCTGGCAGGAAAATGATCCTGAGCAGGGTACCGACATGGCTGCATCGGGCAGCAGTTGCCACGCTGCTGCCTTCTCTCACACCACCGTTCAAATTAGGATAAATCTCACCCCTGGAGGTCGGCATCTGGAAAGCAAAGAGCGAGAGGAAATCTCTCGTAAATAGAGGCAATAGAAAGGCTGTAGGAACACCCGCACTGTCACTGCTCGCCAGACCTCGGCTTCTGCTCGCCCCCTCCCAAGGGCGGCGGTGGTTGGAATAAGGGAGCGTTTGTCCTTCTGGGGGGAGCCCAGCCGGGAGTTCCACGGCTGCCTGCGCTACCCGGGTGTCCCCTCCCCGTACGCCCTGACAGGGGCCCCTTCCAGGACGGCAGCTTCGCCTTCGGGCGCTGCCTTACCCGCGACTGGTGGCCCACAGCCCGCCGGGGAGGCAGAGAGGGGCGGCCGGGGCTGCCGGGCCGGGAGG